ACAAATCAGTCTTTGAAATTCATTTTCAGTATTCCACATAAAGGTGTGATAATGTTGAAGCTGTAGTTTTCATAGCTTGTTCACCTGTGCCAGTTGTTGAGACAATGATAGGTGTCAGGCCTACATTTGCCTGAAAATGAAATAACTTGTGCTGAAATACCAGTATTTTAATGGCATCCAAACTGGTACTCCAATCCAGTGAATGCCAAGATACCTACTTACAGTTCAGTAGAATATAGTGCACTTTTCCAGGTTGAATTACAAGTTATGAAAATACCTTTCATTTTTGAGAAGGTGCTTAAGCTTAATAATCACTTGTGCCATATCTCCCTTGTCCTTTTTTTCTTAAGAAATCAACTCGATTACTTGCTGGTCCATGCTATGTTTCTTCACCATCATTGCTACACATGAGCCACTGCAGGTATCCCTTCCCAAGGAAGTGCTGTAATAGTGGCAGGAAGTGGGGAGAGGTGTGGAATGGGGGGCATATGGAGCAAGGAAGGATGAGCAGATGTTGTTCAATGTGGGTCTTAGCCTACTGACTCAGAGCAGCAAAGCAGCAACACTTTTGTTTTTCTTGTCTTATTTGGGAGCAGCATACCCAGCTAGAGTCTGAAATGCTTCCTCATGTTCTTTGCCCAGTCCTTCTGCCAAGAATTCTTTGGGTTTGTTTGTTACTCTCTCCAGCTTTTGTTCAGTCTACTGCCCTTCCTGACACTCTGTCACCTCCCAGTTTCCTGGTTGCTACTGGTGCTGAGTTGGACCACCCTGTCTTCTGCATCTGCTATTGACAATTGCCAGGGCTTTCCCTTGCTCTCCATTGTCAGTGGCTGCTTTAAAACTGCTGCCTGCTTTTATAAAGAAACTTGCCTTTCAAATTATTAGCAATATTTTTTTAAAAACGTGGCATTTACCATCACCCCCCTTTTTTTTCCCTTCTTCATAAACTGTTTTCATCACTGCCTTTGAGCCACCCAGTAATTTAAGTGTGGTAGTTGTGCATCCTTGCTTTGGTGTTTATTGTTGCACATGGGCTTTCCCCCTCCCTGCTGTGCAGTAAGCTTCTGCATGACATTTTGTTGTCCATTAGTTTCTTATTTAAAAGGTTGGTCTTCAGTGGGCTTCTTCAAATTCCAGGAGTTTGCTACTGCCTGAGTTTGTGTATGTCATTGACAGCAGGTGAATCTTGCCTTTACAGCTCCTGACGTTGTCTTGTCCTTGTTGAGTTGGTGTCCTGGCTGAGTGGAAGGATGGTGCAGAATTGCATATCCTCTGTTCATCGCTGATTTAGGAGTAGATTTATTTCAGTGATGATAAGCAAAACTTGCTGTCCTCTCCATGGTTTGGCAGGCAGCATGGAGATGCTGAAGATGTCTGAAAGCAGACATTGAAGATAACCTTTCAACTAAGTGAAGACAGTGTGCAATCAATGAGAGGCTTAGTGTGGAAATGAATCACAATTCTGTTATTCCTTTAGTGACTGATCTGCACTGAAAATCAGTGGCAGGGATATTTTTTGTACTATTTCTGTAAGTCCTATTGCTTAGCGTGGTGGGGGGATGTTATCTTTTCAATGTTGCTGCAATTTCTTGTGCTTTGGTCAAAATAAAATGTTTTGAGCATTGGTACAAAGTTGCAGCAAATCAAGACTTGGACCAAGACACAGAATTTCTGGTTGAGAATGCTTGTAAAATGTGGGGGAACTGATTTGTTTGGGAGAGTCAGCATCATGTGGAAGAATAGTTTTCAGTTGATTGACTAGAATTATGTAGGGCATACTTTTGGGGTGTAATTTCAGGTAAGTTTACTTTGGGGGATTTCTAGCAGGACTGGATATGTTTTCACAGATGTGCTTTTTAACATCCTGGATTGATAAGCATTATTATTGCAAAGAGCCAATTAAAACCACTGCAGTGTCACTCTTAGAGGACAAAACGTTGCATCGTGGAGAGGGATGAGACACAATTACATGTGGCTTTGAGCAAGCTGACACAGCTTGGGTGTTCAGAGTTCAGATTCAGCAAAGGCAGAGTCCAGGAAGCCGCATTTCCAGCTTCCACCTGTGTGCAGCAGTTAGGTTCAAATTAACTGGAGCATCTGAAAAAATGAAACAGTGTTACTGCCCTTCTGGCCTTACTAGTATAATGATGTCTCTTGAAAGGTAGGATGACAGCAGAACATTGGCATGTGGGGTAACCTGTCTCATCTTCAGTTGAGCAAATGGTTACTTCTGAGCTCTGATGAGATCCTGTCAGTTATTCAATGTGACTTGGAAAGCAAGCTTAAACTGTTGCTTTTCTGTTTTCCTTTTTCTCCCATCATCTCACCAACTATTGCTTTCTTTAAAAAATCTGGTGATCAGAGCAAGCATGTCCTCCGGGCCATCTGTGGGACCAGGCAGTGTCTGCCTGGCCTGTCTGCATGTATGGAAGCTTTCAGCCACGTGGAGGGAGCTCTACCAATTTGGTATGGCCAAGTATGAAGAAATTTAGTATGTGTGTCTATGCGTGCCCGGATGGAGTGAACGTGGGAGGCTGTCTGCCTGCCTGCAAGGTTTCATGTGTTTTTGAGAAGTGAAATTGGCAACAGGTCTTTCTGTCCACTCCCATGGTAAAATCAAAAGCAAAAGCCAGGACACTGTTGTAACCATTGAGGGGAGGGATGTGGGTCAGTGGTAACAGCCTGATGTTTGTGGAAATGGTGCCTAAGTAAGAAATCACACTTTTTTTTTCTTTTTTTTTTTATGTTGAATGCCTAAGAGATACTGCAACAATTGGTTATGTCTATGGCAGTGCTTTTGGTAGTTCTTTCTATGATGTGATTGTGTCCCTGAAAACTGCTGGATAAATGATAAAGCTACAGTACTTTTCCCCTCTTGTTTTGGTACTCAGATTTGACCTCCACCTTAGGACAAGGTTTAGTGTGCATTAGTCCAGCACATGAATTCTTATCCACATAAATTCTTATCTATATAATCTTCTTGGTCCAGCACTCTTATTTTTTTTCCTTTTTTTTATTAGTTTATGGAGGGCTTTTCCCCCCTCTGGGAATTCATGTCAAAAACAGCTGGCATCTTTACAGTTTGCTGGGTAGTCAGCTAAATAGTAGCTGGGCTTTAAAAAG